CTGCCTGGGGTAGCACCTGCTGGTGGCTGTTAATTTGGCACAAAACAGCCCTCTTTATCAATGAGCTAGCTCACAAAGTAGTCTGCGGCCCCGTCTCAGCTGTCAGTGCCCGCATAGACTCATAGGGAAAGGACTCACAGGAGTCCACCCGAGAACCCTGCCGCTGTCAGGTAAGCCTGGATAATTTTCCTCAGGTAGGTCCTATCACATTGGCAAGGTTGCGTAGAAACAGTCCCTTTTGTTTGGAATAGGAGCTATGAGCTCTCGGCCACCATCACCATTCCACTCTACCTGGCATCATTCTGTGCCATGGGCTATGGAGTGCTTTATGCTTCCACATACACTTAACAGATGTAGTGCTCCCTCGAGCTTGGCTCCAGCATCATAATGTTTGCAGCCTTGACCTAACCTGCTGTTAACCCATTCAGGTTTGGGACTCACATGAGTTGTTGGGGGGTGGAAGAGTTTCCAATCAATCTTCCTACACCCTTTTGGTTGTCGCAGATGGTCACACTTTTTTACTGTTAACAGATGAGGAGTTCTTTGGTCGGCCTTGTTTGTTTTTGGTCACCGTGTAGCCATTTACTCCTCTGCCATGAGGGCTTATCACCACTTATGGAGTTTGGTTCTGCCCACCCTGCAGGTAGCTCATGTGCACGCTTACAGTTCAGGCCTTCCACATCGCTGGGAGGCACTGTTGCAGGTGCATCACGAGCGCACTGCTGCTCAATACGCCTGAAACCCAGTGTCTAAGCAACTGACAGGTCAGGACCTGCCTTTTGTTGGTGTCTGGCTTTTTAGCCAGAAAAAGGTTGTTATTCTTGATAACCTGCTCAGGCTCTAGAAGGCGACACAGTCATTGCGTGGTAACATCTGCAAGAGCCTGAAGATGTTCCCATCAGCCTATGGCATTCTGGGAACGTTAAAAGCCTCAACCCCAAAGTTAACAGCTGCCGCCCCTAGACATGTGGGCAGGCAGTGCCTTGATCAGCAGAACTGCTGGTAGGACTGCAAAACTGAGCGGTCTCTTCTCTGTTGTTGACCAGTGAGTCCGTTTGACTCCTTTCTATCATAGCTACCAGCTTTGCCACTATCTTCAATATATGTTGAATCCATTCGGATCGACCTCAACATAGAGAAGATTTTTGTTCTTGCTTTTTCTCTACCATATCAACACTTCGGCAGGAAAAGATGCTTTCCAAATTCCAATCCATCTTGTGTCCAGGCCCATTATGATCAAGCACAACCGGTCCCGGCTTCGAATTTGCCAATTCTGGGCATAAGCTCGAATCTCACTCCTTGAATGAATCTCCCTCCAATATGATGTGATACATTATCATCCTCTGTCACCTTCAGTGTGCTTCTTTTCATTTGCACAGCTCACTTCTCGGTTCACCGCATCCCGGTGGAGGAATGGAGGAACCGCCTTTTCCAGACCCAGCCATCACTTAGCTGAGCATTTACACTAACTATGCTGAAGCTAATAAAGGATGCTTGCACCAAGCCACCTCCTATTAAAGATCTAGGAAGAATGTATCACAGGTACAAGGTACGAGGAAATGATATAGAAATTTTGGGATGACATCGTAGAACAAATTTATCCAAAACAAGAAATGATTTCTCTGAACCCTACTAATAAGAATACGGAAACATTGATGTCTTTGGCAGGGAGACTTATTCCCTTCAATCACTTCTGCTCCATGTAGCCAACTATCAATAACGATAAGCGCCTACCTGGAGCAATTATGGTCTCATATTCTACCTCTCTTGGAATCCATTAAAACAGAGCTTAGAAATTCTCACTCTGAGACCACAACTCTAGCAAAGCAACACAGGATTGCTGCTAGACATGCAAAGGGCTTCAACTACTGTCGCATCCTTAGTATCTATAGAAGGCTCACATAGTCACGATCCACTGGCTCATCAAGGAGGCAAGGGACAGAATTGAATGTCTTCCATTACATGGTACCAGTCTCTTCAGTCTTAGACTGGTGACACTAGAATTTTTTTACACAGAATAGGAAAACAGCTAAATTATATACGGGCCGACAGCCCTTTCGTCCCTCTTTCAGTTCTACCCATAGTCCTTTCAACCATATCTGGAGTTTCAGCCTCCCAGACATTTCGATTCATACAAGAATGTCACCACATCTCTCAAGGTTACATTATATAATTGTCTTTGTTCCTCTTTGAGTAATGTTAGACTTACTCTTTTTGTCTATATCCTCCAGGAAGAGACCTCTGCCTCCTGGACAAACGTGCCATAATCCAAGTTCCTACATCTGGCTTATGCAATGGCTTCTACTGTACTTCTGTGCTATTATATACATAGAAAGAACGAAGGCATCAGTCCCATCCTTGGTTTCAGAAATCTTTTCATGTGTATTCTACCGTACGTTTCGCATCTGCAAGGTATTTCAGATGGTACAGGGCATCAGTTTGATA